GCCCATCCTCCGGAGCTGTCCCAGTGCTGCCTTCCTGCGTGTCCTCCGGAACATTGGAACAGTTAAAATTGCCATTACATTCTGTGGAATCGCACTCTACGAGTGAAACTGTACAGTAAGAATCATATCACTTTGGATTAAGGATCGTTTTCACCGGACAAACAATTGGATTACTTCACAACCGACACCGTCATCCCGGATCAGCTGGACAACACGCCACAATCAGCTGGAGATTGTCACCACCTGCGCTCATCAAGACGGCGAATGGAGACGCCGAGAGTCAAGGCTTGGAAAGCGGCCGGGTATGTGCAGCATTAAAAACTGGATTGTATTGGAGACATTAAGCTGTATTGGACAATGGTTTGGATTTAATGCTGCAATAATGTCAGCTGTTTGAAACAGTGCGCTGTAGAGTCACCTCTGGGAAAAATAATGTGCATTATTCACTTTTACTTTTGATTATTAAAGTACATTTCTCATTCACTGTAACTGAAGGCAAGCATTCTCAGAATCAGAATACTTTGTTTATCCCAGGAAAAATGTGGTTTCATGTTTCATGTTCATCTTGACTGCTTCAGTTAAAACTACATAAAATGAAAGATAAATAAATAAAAAACAGAATCAAAATATTGATTTGAACATAAACCGTGAAAGTAAAAGTATAATAAAACATTATATAAACACAAGTTACGGTAAAAATGTGCACATTGCAATAGGATTAATAACATGTATATTACAATGTGGTGTATTAGTGCTAATAAGATATTATTCCTGACTGATGGGGAAGTAAGTGATGATGATGCTCTTTGCAGTAAATACATTATCTATCATTAATAAAAGGTAGAAAATATATCAACAATAAATACAAGAACAAGGCCACATTTTAGTTTGTCCTTTCTTTATTTCATTATGACAGTTTAACAAGCATAAACCTTTACATAATTGTTGGATATGTATAAAAGAGTATATGGGACCTTTTTCCATAAATCAACAGAAGACCAGGAACTTATGGTTGGACATAAACACATTTAGAAGAATCCTTTTTCTTATTCCTTATAAAGCTCAAACACACAGTTCTGCATAAATGACAGCTTTATTTTCATTCTATTCTTTAATGTTCCTGCAAAGGATTTAGTGTTTCACATAGTGTTTCCATGGCATCCCCTGCATCGTAACAAAACTCACCTTGGCTGTATAATCAGTATGTCAGACATGTACCTAAAAGTGTAGACAATTATATCTAATTGGAAAAGCCCAGTCTTGATATATTTTATTTTACACTAGCTGGTTCTGGGGGAAAATTATAAGTGTGCATTATGCTTATGAGACACATCTTGGTTTGTGTATGGATCGCGAGAGTTAGAATAGAGGGTGACTTTGTAATGGAGACACAAACACAGAGAGCTTTAATGGAGCTTTACTGTATGCTTCCTCACATACAGCCATATTATGTAGGGGGAATAAACATATTCTCTTGTCTAGATACCAATATTACAAATCACTCCCTGAATGGGTTTAAGAATGTGTACAGGATTAACCCCCCCCCCCCCCCCCCCCGTGCTCAGATCCTGGATTGGGTTAGGAAAAAACGTTCAAAATCCTAAAGAAGAATAGTTAATATTCTAAGTTTCTTATGATCACATTGGATCACGTTGGACAAGCTGACGAATCATAGACGGCATAGTTGGCAACTTGATTCCACCCAAGTTGCATTCAATGTCAAAGCATTTAATGTAATCAAAATCTCAGTGAAGCACCTAGACTGCAGGAGGGGACATGGTGAGGGGAATCCTTTTTCTATGGAAATATATAAAAAAACAACATTATTTAGTCCAGAAGAGGCCAATCAGCTGTAAGAAAGGTGATGATGAGTAGTAGAGTAGAATAAAGTGGAACAGATCATGCTTCAAGTGGCAGAGTACAGTAAAGAACACTTGGGAAGAGCAACAACAACCGGAACAGACAGACATGCTGTGTACAGATGAACTAACCATGCTGACATCTTATGAAGAGGATCCAGGAGGATATCCAGCAGGTCCCAGGTGTCTCCAAACAGATTCAACACCCTCCTCTCACCAATACACACAGGAGGAAACTCATTCAAACAAAGGGAACAGAGACAAAGATCCAATAATCTCGACTACACCACAGTCAGTCAGGCAGAGTGGAAGAAATCCTCTCCTCTACTTAAAGACAAGCTAAAACACGTTGGTCTTCAAATACTCCATTCGATGTCAAAGTCCTGAATTCAAAATGGCACCTAAGTAGAAGTAAAGACGTTTTATCAGCCACATGTAAGTCAATTAAAAGTAAAAGTGCTCATTATGCACAGTGTCTCCTTTCAAATTATAATAAGGATAATGAAATATTATATTATTGTGTTTTTAATTGGTTAAAAATACAAGAAAGTGGACGGCGTATATCTGCTTATAATAATCAAACCACTATCAATCTCCATGAAATTAACAAGGCCAGATCAGAACACCAGTGATCTGGACTAGGTGTTCACAGAGAGGCATACAATAAAGCAAAGATTATATCAATACATGTATCCATCTTTACAACACATACAACTAAACACACTCACACATTAGAGCGGAATAGGAAATTATAAATCCAAAAGGTATGTTTCTGTCATTATTAAAGTTTTACGGGGCCAATCAATAAAAATGTAATTTATACTAAAGATTATCTTATGATAAAAGTGGGTTATTTGACTTCTCACTTAACTCTCTGCTGTCAGCAGCTCCTAACAGCTAACCAGTGCAGCTAAAGACAAAGACATACAATGAGCCTTGTGGGTGAAAAAGTGTGAAGGGAAGGACAACAAACATTAAATGAACACTGACAGATGAGAAGGGAGGCGTCACTGTGAGGAAACATTCTTTAGTAAGCCTTCATTTATTTGCACAAAAATACTTATTTGCAACGCAAAAAATGTCAAGTTTATTAATCCACTACCTCTGTAAGGACCAAAGTAAGGAGACCATAGTTACATCATATTTCAAACAATATTATTGTCTTACATGTATCTGCATTATATTTTCCATAATATGTGTATGTGCATCATTTTAAGATTCTGGATTATGTTTTTAAAACTACAATAGTTTTTTTTTCTTCTGCACTATCCTCCTTTTAATACACTTTTATTGTCGTACCATTAATACATTTTTTGATATGTCTATTCTAAGCCGTTTTTTTTTGCCTCACTGGTTATGAAGCTTAGCGCAAGTTCAATCAGGAAGACCAAGCTCTTCATTCAGATTACACGTCACTTCATTACACTCTCCTCCCTCATTAAGTGATCGGGGGCGTCTCTCCCCAGCTAACCAATCTCTCCTCTCCATTCTCACAAGCCTATCATAGCTCCCGCTAATCCCTTTATATCTGCTCTTCCCTCTGTCAGCTGTCATTTCAGGTGACAAAACGCAACCCTCCTCCACCCCTTTCGCCTCCCGTCTCCTTCAGGACCAAGCTAACCTTCTCCCTTCAGTCCGTTCCCACCTACTTATCACCACCACCAGTGTCTAGACCCCGGGGGGTTTCATTGGAGCGGTTCTTCCCCCTCCTGAATGATTATCCTGCAAACTGGGGCCTAATCGCCAAACACCATTCCATTCTCCTGTTATAATTGTGGCAATCATTATTACATTCATATTATGTGTCCCGGTAATAAATATGTATTTCATACATCAACGTCTCTCCTGATTGAAATTGTATTAAATGTGATATCGATTTTCTGTGAGTATTTTAAGAGATGTCTACTGTGAAGCACTTTGGACTGAGATTCTTGTATGAAAGGTGCTATGCAAATAAAACGTATTATTATTCATATCATTATGTCGAAATTCCATGCAGTTATTTGTTTCAGGTTATTCATTTCACAGCAGCAATCTTAACTTTTCTTAGACCTTTTTGATATGATCTCACTTTTCATACAGCAATTGGTGAGAACGTTTGCTGAAAATGCTTAAAAAAAAAAAAAATACATTCGGAAAGGCTGTGTGATATTATAGTTTCAGAAATACTGTGCTGACAGAAAAACCGTTGCCTCCTGGAAAATACACTTGTTAATATTAAACAGAGACTCCCATCCTTTATTAACAATAAAGACAGGTCTCTCATTGCTTCCAGTCAGGACTCACTGTGAGGAACATAAAAGTAGCACTTCTGAAGTCTCTCAACACAGGCAGCAATTACATTTGCCACCTTAAAGGAGACATGTCATGGCCATTTCCACTGATCATAATTCCATTGTTGAGGTCTACTAGAATAGATTTATATTGTGCATTTTTCCAAACTCACATTGGTTTCTCATACAGCATCTCTGTAAACTACGTGTATTCACTGAATTTCAATCTCTGCCTTTAACGGCTTGTTGTAGCTCCAATAGCTCCAGCCCCCACCCTCCCTGTGAGCACAGTGTGCTCTGATTGGTCGGGACGTTGTGAATCGCGCTGAGCTCCGTGGAGGTGTTGTTTCCTTGTTTAGGATACATAGCGAAACACAGCCAAACGCATCCTGAGCACACACAAAGTCACAGCCGAAGTAAAAACAATAAGTGTGGCTTGATATTGAGTAAGAAAAAGGTTGATAAACGCTGTGAGAATGGGTCTGCAGAGAGAATTTCGCCGCAATCGCAACTGTCTGTTATCAGCCTGCAGCCAGGGAGGAGAAATCAGCAGAGCTGCCTGCACTGTGTGTGTGTGTGAGGAAGTCCGTGGATTGGTCAATTTGGACCAATCAGCGGGGGCTTAACGTAACGTAGCGGCTCCACGGATTGGTCCATTTCGTTCCGGGTACGGGATTACATCATCCCGTACCCGGAAGAATCAAATGGACAATGACGTATCTCCAACGAGGCGTTTTGGGGAGGTATTTTCTGTGTTAGAGTTTTACTCGCTACAGGGTGTACTTTGAGGGTTTTGACTCTGCACACCGTTTACATGCATAAAAACCTTCATAACACACAAGGGGACGGGTAATAACCGGAAAAGCATGACATGTCTCCTTTAATGTAGTTTTAAAGATATATAAACGTAAGATATCATAAATACAACACTACCCTACAGCATTTGACTTTCTATAATGCTACAGTATGTGAAGGATTCTGCTATCCTGTAAACTGTCTTCTTTTTGCTATCATTCTAGCCAATGCACTGCAAACCCATGAAGCATTCATCTGATCTCTTGATTGCAATAGCATTTGACTAATTCAAATGATGTGGTAAACACATTTCTTTATTTCAAAATGTCAAAACAGGAGACAGACTTGTGTGTGATCTTGTATTTCAGATAAAAATACAGACAAGTTGGAAAGTGGAACACAACTGCAAAATACACACATCACATTTCCATCACGGTACACGGTAACTATGGTATTAATACAATAATTCAAACACTGACTTGAAACATCAAACCAGGATGTGGGGGTTAACTGAAAGCTTACTGTAAGCTTACTGTACAGCAACATATTCATTCTCATTGTCAAATCTGTAGGAAGCAACAAAGCAAAATAAGCATGCTGACATTTTGGACGATTTACAGCCAAAGAAGATTTTCGAAATGTCACCTGTGCGTCCAGTAGAGATGAGTCTCGAATGTGTTTGGAAGTAGCAGAGCGAGGAACTTACTCCTCAAAGAACTCAAAACTTCAGGCGAGAACCCTCTCAACCAGACTCACAAAGATAACATTTATATGAATCTTTATCTAAGGGAAGTGCACTTCCTTACACCATGAAAACTCCTTCCTCTGCGGATCATACATATAAAAAATAACCATGTGGTTCTCAGTGTAGGTTCAAGCATAACTCAACACTTAGGACTTCTCCTTCTTTTTCTTCTTCTCCTTCTTCTTCTTCTTTTTCTTTTTAGGGGATTTGTCTTTCTGTGCTTTACCTTTGTCATCATCACTACTGTCGCTGCTTTCATATTTTACTAGGCCTTTCTTTTCTCCGCTGCTCTTGGATTGATTTCCCTTGCCGTCAGTGTCTTCCACTTTGATTTTGTTATGACTCCCGATGTTCTGCTCCTTGTTTACCTCCTTTTTGGCCCTCCCTTTAGGAGGAGGGGTCTGTCCACGAGACACCGTGATGAGGAGCCTCTCCTTCCTCATCTCCTGTTTCAAGGACATGTTTCCCATGGCGTCTCCGTGGCTCCCGCCCTCGTTGTGGTTTTTGCTTCTGTGATCTCTGTCGTCCCTCCAGTTTTGCTGGGGGTCTCGCTGGGGGTCTCTGTGACTCCTGTGCTCTGCTGAGTCTCTGTATTCAGAGCCCCTGTGGTCCCTCCTGTCTGAGGGTTGTGGATAAGCAGAGCTGCTGCTCAAATGGCGCGAGGGTCCCTTGCTGTCTTCAGCATTCCTGTCCATCCGCGCTTTATGCTAAAAACACATAAATAAAATGATTTTCCAGCAAAAATGTTACGGTGAGTGTACATTTTCAATATATAAGCTATGGCATTATTTAAATGAATTTGGGCATAACTTAAAGATTGTGAAAAGGTAACAGGGTTCAGGTCATTTATTTTGTATTCTACCCGTAAGTAGATTTGGTTTGCACATGAAACACATTTTAAAACAACACAGACAAACAAATCTCTAAAAAAGGACCCCCTGCGCCGACACATCTAAAAGGATTTAAAAACCGCTAGTACAAACATGACCAATCAAGAAAGTTAATAAATAAATACATAAATATGCATTGCATTTAATCGTTTTTGCCAGTTAAGATTTAGTCCAAAAAACAAGCAAATGTAAAGCGACACTGAGCATACAGTCTTCAGTGTTTAAATACAAATATTTAGTTTGGATGAATAAAGTTACATAAGATTATTTTTAATACAACAAAGTGGACATTCTGGCCTTACGACTCACTATAACTTGACTAAAGACTGTAAAGATCAAAGAGTTTTAAGCGGCCTTCTTCCTTGTTTTCAGTCTTTTATGGGATTTGTTGACAGCACACAGAGATGAACAGGAGTTATACTTACACTACCCGAGTTCCCATGGCGGTGGATGGCTGCATGGGTTTCAGCACTACTCAAATCCCCAATGAACTCCTCACATTTCTGACAGTAAAACCCAATCACTGGTAACAGAAAACTCAATCCTGCAAAGAGAGAAGACAGACAGTGAAGTATGTAGAGTATTTAACGCTAAAGGATACATTCATCACAGGAGACTGCCTTACCATCCTGTTTCAACAATCCTTCCAGCTCATTCATCAAGGATTCCATTTTTTTTATCCGGGCTTGTTTGTCATTCTTCCCTTCCTCATTGTCACGTGCCTACAAAACACATGCAACAATTCCAAAAGAAATCAGGGGTTTTGTGATTCTTAAATGCATCCAATTGTATCACTGTCAGTAGCACAGCTTGACAATCAATACCTTGTGATTATCAGAGGATGTCTGCGATGTACCACTGCCATCATTTTGTTCACGCTTCTCCTTTGTTGCTTAAAGAAAGAAGAAGAACAATATAATCCTCTTAATCACATCGTAAGCATTAGACAATAAAGTCAGAGAAGATAAATCATTGATCCAGCGGACTTCAACTTCAACACCTCTTATTTCATCTTATCCTTGGCAACTGTAGAGAAACAGATCAGAAATCAATTGTGATTCCAAATGAGACATTAGAAAAGTATTGCGGTATACGGCATTACATTTCTGTCGTAACTTAAAGAGTGTTCAAATCAGAGCCGTATTTATAAGCTGAAACATCTCAAGAGAGAAAATATGGCACTAAGCACCGAAGCTGAGGGAATGAGTCCGCCTGTACTTATTAAGGTAAAATAATAACATGTATGCGCCGTACTCTGAACCTAGACAAACTATATGTCGCTCACCTTGTTAATGGCAGCAGCACCACACTCTTTCCGCTCTTACCTTTCACAATAAAAAGCTGCATCACTTCCTACCATTTCGCCCAAGGCCAATCAACAAAATAGTTCGCAGTTTAAATTGCACTTATTTATGTGAGGATTTAACCAGTTGTTAGCAAACATGGTTATAGTTATTGTTGAAATGTGATTGGTAGTTTGCTGCCCTTCTTCAAATGCCGTTGCCATAGCAACACAATGCTCGCCATGAAACACGGTTTTCTCATAACTTCAGTGAAAATGTTCGGCCCAAAACTTCACAGGTTTGGTAACGATGCAGCCATCAACGCATCTAAGCGTATTATGGGGTGTCATCAAATGCCATTGCCATTGCGACAGATCATTCACCATCAAGTTAGTTCAAAAGTTTGCAGTTCAAATATTCTGCTGCTTTTCCAAGCCTTTTTACTTTCTTTTCTTCACTCATCACACATTCAAGCCCCTAGTGTTCATGTATCATTTCAATCTAAATTCTTCACTTTCTTCTTACACATTACATTTCAGCATAGCAGTTTAGCGTCAGCTTTTCAGCATAAAGCATTCCCACTAGCAATTTCTTCAGGAATTGCATTCTCTAGTTAACATTGATACTCTGGTTACTGGGGATAGCTACCGATAGTCACTGGGGAAAACGAAAGCGCAAACCTCTTCCTGTTTTGGTTACACAATTGTTAACGCACATCCTTTTTGCTTTAATTCAAATGGGGAGATCTCATTGGTGGCAAACAGAATTACCGAGTAAAGGTGAAGCTTATAAGGAATACATCTAAACGCTGATGGTGTTGTTATTTCAACAGCCATTACATTTGGCAATCAACATTTATTCAAAATGATCATTTAAAGCAAACAATTGTTGCCACTTTAACTCAATGAACAAGCTGATTGAAGAGGTGATGGCATGATCAGTTAAATCAATCCGTTTTAACACAGTATTCTTACCTTTGATCAGTGACTGTAGGGACTGCAGAGCTTGCCGTACATTAGGGTTACCCAGCTCGGGCAGGGCTAAGGCTGCTGCTGCCCGCTCTGAACTGGAAGGTGCAGGAGACCGCTGCTTCTCCACCTTTTGACCCTGGATCTTCCCCATGATCTTGCCGACGTCTACTGTGTCCAGACTTTTTAATATGTTCTTGATCTTCTCACACTCACTGCTGTCCAGACTGGCAGAGGCTACGCTCGAGGAAGTCCTTTGAAGGGTTTGCTTGAGATCAAGCAGATCCCCAAAGCTACTGAAAATGGGCTTGTTCTGTTGACTTTCTGAACTATCCATTCCCTGTGGTTTGTATGCTGCAAAAAGTGTGGTGGAGGATTTATTGGTTTGTTTTTCTCCAGTGTCTTCATTACCGTACAAGAACGACTCTTCATCTTCAAGCTCCTCAGCCTTCAGGACTGCGGATTCCTGCTGACTCTGCGCCTGCAGCCAAGAGAAGTCGCTCCCTACTCTGTCATGAGGAAGCAGCATACTGTCATTTTCCAATGATGATGAATTATCATTGCTCTCATGTTGCTGATGTCTGAGCTCTTCATGAACACGCTCCACTTTTCTGCTTCCATCTGAACCCTGCACAAACAAAATTATAACAAGGACATACAATTAGGAGATAGCAGCTTCTTCCCTTTGTTATCTTGTTTGGCTATTAATTCAATGTTTTAGGAAAAGACGACGTACATGTCTATGTTTGCAAATGTTTTATACCAGGAGCTATATCCATGGAGGTGGATGTCCACTGTGCAGAATGTGGTATGAACAGTGTTGGCAGTAACACACTGGACCTTGCAGCTTGGTAGTTCAGTCGATAGGTCTTAGACTTAGCTTGGTAGGTTCAAGTCCAGCACGGATTAAAGCCTCAAACCCATAACTATTTGGTGTGTCTTCCATGTGGCAGCCCATCACTCTGACATCTCCTAACAACAATACTGAGAGCTGCAGAGCATACCATAACTAAAAGTAAATCCCAGATGTTAATGGTTATGATTTGGTCTGTATCTTTTTGAAATGGAGAGAAGTTAGAATAATTAGCAACACAATAAAACCACCACTGGCCTAATTCTATTTTTTAAGTTGATATATAAGCCATAGTTTGATATGAAGCTACATGAACCAACACAACCATATAGCCAGGATTCTATTGACTAGGTCCCCATCTGTGTCACCAGCTCCCACTGTATTTAAAACGTGTGCAAAAGACAAGAACATTCCCAACTTTTTGGTGGTTAGTATCATATTCATGTTTCAAGGCCTGCGTTTTTCATGCACAATGGATATAAATGGGGTAATCTGGTTCTCCTTTTCTTCGTGACGTTTTAAATAAATGTTGTAATTTCTTTACACTACTGTGACCTACAGCAGTTGACAAGGTCTGTGGCGGATCTTCACCCTAATTCACTAACAGCTACAGTCATCGTGTTTTTAGATCAAGTGTTCAAGTGTTAAAATAAAACACTAGATATACTTCTGTCCAGGTTTACATAGATGCTATTATTCATAAATCCCAGTTTTTGTGCTGGTTGACACAGAGCATTTTAGAAAATGGATGAGGAGCCCTACCTGAATAGTGAGGATGGCATCTTTGAGAGTGGGCATCCGCTCCTCCAGTTCTTTGCTGTTCATGACCAGCTTCAGTCCTTTTAACAGACTATTTTCCGTCAGATTATGACTGATGCCAACACTGCTGCCAAAGCTGGGGCTGGTGCTCCTCTTTCTCTTTTTGTCTTTTCCATGCCTCCTTTCAGCACTGCTGCTTCGTGACTTGGACCTCCTGACCCGGCTCTTGCTCCGCACATGACTCTTCTTGCTTCGACTGTGGCTCCGACTCCTGTTGCGGACCCTGCTTTTGCTTCTCGCCCTGCTTTTGCTTCTTGCCCTGCTCTTGCTTCTTGGCCGACTCTTGCCCCGAGCACGACTTTTGCTCCGTCCGCTTCGGTCTGGCGATCGGCTTTTGCTTCTTGCACGGCTCTTGGCTCGAGATTTTCCGCGGGTTCGACTGCGGCTTCTGCTCCTGGATGTATTCTTCTGGAACTCAGGGTTTGATTTCATTGCTTCTTTCAGGACACTTGCCGACTTAAAAGCTTCAGCCAGGTTGTATGCCATGTTCCCTTTGAGATAGTCTGGCAAAGGCTTGTTTGTTGCGATGCATCTCAGGAATTCCTCACCAGCTTGGTCACTGAAAAGCAGCATGCATTTGTTTCAAATGAGAGAGAACTCAACATATACATTAAAGCATTAGTTCAACTGTTCCTACTTAGAATTACACAACATAGAAAGATGTACCTGCTGTCTGGAGGATGTTCAACCGGAGTTGTATTCCACTTTGGGATGGGAATATGCAGTGGTTGTGGAGGAGGGACGATCTGCTGGCTGCCTCCCACAGCAATCACAGTACTACGGTCTATGGAGAAGCTGCTACATTGGGGCTGAGAGTATTCAAAATTCATGTTATAGTGCTGTACAATACATAACTGTATTAGCATACTTGAGAAAAAACGTATTTGAAAGGGGGCAGTTGTATATGCTTAACATGTTTTTAAATTTTTGAGTAAAAAGTGTACACTAAACATTTTTAGAAACTTGGGTAACCGTTTAAGAGGTCTGTGGTTACAACAGATTGCACAGTACGTTTTCAATTTCCAAGGAAAATTTGCTTGATCTTTCCGCAAATAAAATGCTGGACAGGCCTAAAATCAGCTGTGTGACAGAAAAGGAATAGGCCTATTCATATCATCATCATATCATTATCAGCAACAATTGGGTTCATGTATAGAAGAAACAGTCTGGACATAAGGGTCAATGCTGGCATACATAATGAGTAATGCTGTAAAGGTGGTTTCTTTCTAGGACAAACAAACTTCAAACATTTAGTACCAAATTGTTGCAGGAAAGTAGTTTACTTTTCATTTTCTGAATGTTGAAAAAGTGTTATGTGATCTGGTTTTTGTTTAAACAATACAGAAGATTGAATTAAGCTGAATGCAAGGATATTTTTAGGGGACATTTATTTATATAAATGTCCATTATTTGGAAATAATTTAAAGGTGGGGTAGGTAATTTTGGAGAAACCAACTTGAGTGCGCTAAAATTTGAAAATACACAGCCGGAAAAAATCTGCCACTTCCTTACAGAGCCCCTCCTCCAACACACACGAATGTGCACATGACCAATGAGGGCACGAGATAAGCTTGTGCACAGATGGAAGGCTGACAGGCAGGTAGGCCATCCAGTTATTTTAGCCGGGCCGGCTAAAATGATTGGTCGTGCTTTTTACAGTATTACGGCTTCCACAGATGAAATATTTGTATGGATTTTTGGTCAAAGCACTTAAGATATTCATTGCTATCGGGATGTTAAGAGCATTCCATGGAATATAACAAAAAGTGTATCTCGAGCCGGTTTCTCAAACTTACCTACCCCACCTTTAATGTTTAGAGAGCCCAAATTATTATTTGACTTCTGACTAAAACTTTAACCGTATTGACTGTCAAAAAGGAGATACAATATGTGTAAACAATGTGCAGAGGGAAAACCGAAAGTGATAAAACAATTACTAAAGAAATGGACCAATGGCGTAGTCCCGCACCTTGAAGTAGACTCAAGTTAAAACCTAGGAGCTAGCATTGTTGCCAATGTAGGCACATAATAAAGCATTAGCACTTCTATGATATGCTACTACTGAAGGTATAATGAATGTATGTAACAGTGGCGGCGCTAGAGGGTGGCTACTTGGGCTCAAGCCCCGGATGTTTTCTGAAAAGCCCCGGATGTTTCACTTAAAAAAAAAATATATATATATATATATTTTTGAAAACGTCTCGGGAGTAATGTGCAGCACCAGAGAGGCAGCCGCTGCGGGACAGTAGCCTGCGTACTGCGTAGCCTTCCCTGCCCTGAAGAAGAAGTGATCCTTCCTAGTGCCTGACAAGTTTTAAGCTAATAGCCTATAAAGTTATTTTCATCGAAGCAGGCGCCACAAGCTGCAGCAGCAGCAGTATCAGCAGCTGACAACAATGTCATCACCAGCAGTGAAGAAATGGATGATGTTTCAGGTTTGTGAATCTTATTTGAAATTTTACTTTGCTGGTTTTCTAACGTTAAAGTGAATAACAGGCTAATGGTGATATCTGCACTCTGGCTGACTGAGTAAGAAGTGAAAAAGAGTGATGTAACGTTAATATTATAGCTAGTAAACATGGAGTAACCACACTAATGGCGCGTTTCCACTACACGGCCTCGCTCGGCCCCGCTCGGTATGGCTGGGCCTCGTTAGGACTGGCTCACTTTATGGCGCATTTCCATTACAGTTTAGGAACTGGGGTAGTATCTATAGTAACGCAGTGTAGGCGGAGCCGTGACGTGATCTTCAGAGAACCCCAGAAAAACAACACAGCCGTTAGCTGTTAGCACTCAGAGCTCACAGCTCCTCATATATGTTCAGAAACTAGACAAAAGTTAAACAAGTACAAACCACAGACTGCCTGTGTCATGGTGAATACAGTCGCTGCTTTATTTATGTCTGTATAGGCCGTTGTTGTGAGTGTGGACGGTCGAAGCATATACTGCGTTAGCTTAGCCAATCTCCATTTAGAACACACGCATTTTAAAAGGTTCTTCGCCTGCCGTCTGTCTGCAGACTTGACAAAGCATTAATTCATGGTTTTTACTAACCGGTATCAGTATGTTGTTACTTCGGCATCATTTTGAAACGTGTATTACAATTAACCTGTTCCACTCTGAGCCTGTTTTTCAGGTCTCAGGCTCGAAAATGACATTCCCAGAACAAATGACCATATCTTCCCTTCTAAAAGGGTTAAATTAATAATCTTTGTTCTCAAAGTAATGATAAACCTGTGAGTTGGATGTAGAAGTGTCAGAATCAATATAAATGTTTTTTATTTTAAAGAAAATTCAGATTTTACATAGTAAAAAACTGTAAATTATAGTGTCCGTCCAAAAATTATATTTTACAGATAGTGAAAACTACCCTTGGATGATGGGTTAGTAGACTAAAAGCTTTAGGAATCCAAAGTACAACATATAATAAGTACCCTGTATCAAGATTGATGCAAAACAAGTGAAATTTGACCTTTTTAGAGAGATTTAGCCAAAAACCCCCACTTCTGGGGTCATTTGGGTGGATTTGACCTATCTCTGGCCCCCCTTGGTCGATTTGGTTGGTTGACATACCCTTGTGACCGTTAGAGCCAATAGAATCGAAGGGGGAGGCACACACCCACACACGTTGTAAAGAAAAAATGTGGGCGCTTCGCGTGTGGAAAACGAAAGCAAAGTGGAGGAATGTCTCCTTCTGGAGTTTGGAAACTAAAACGCAGTTGTATTGCTTATGGATTATCAGAAATAATTTCAAAGAAGGCACAGACACATAGGATGAACATATGGATTAACTGCAGCATCGTTTTTTTATCGTTTTAATGCCATTGAAGACCTTACCAAGGTAAGCCATATTTACGTTTTTTAGCTACTTAGCTCCACATGTGATGATGTACGCTTTCGTTTATAGCGTCGCGAATGTTTATCACTGAGTGTTGAGGTTTTTTACACAGATTCAGTGTCTCCAGGACACCAAAAACGAGTGGTTGGCTGTGCATCTAGGATAAGTAATAAGGGAGTTATGAGTGAGTTTAAGTGCCTTTGTAGGTTCCGTTTTTTCGATCGAGGCTAATTCAGAGGCTGAGTGCTAGCATTGTGGGTTTTTTTTGAAAAAAAAAATTAAAAAGATCAGTTAGCTGAGTTTCTTCCCGTTACATGGATATAACACATTCATAGTTTTATTCAATATTAAGATTCCTTAGACGTTGTTTCCTGCAAATGACGCGTTTATCCGCCCGGTACCGGGGGGATGGTGTGAAACAGGTTAAATCACGGTCAAATATGTCCATCTTGTTGTAGTTGTAGCCCCCTTGCCAGCGATGCTCTCTCTAGTTTAGCATACTCAGCCCGACTCAGCCTCGTTGTCTCTGGCCCTAGACCCGCGATTTTATGAGGCCAGAAAAACTGTGAATTAGGACCCGCCGGCCGGTACTAGGCCAAGTGGAAACGCAACCAAAAACGGGCCGCTGACGTCACAGCCCTCTTAAACCGTGCTCCGCGCTGTAGTGGAAACGCGCCATAAGTATACCCTTATATGTTAGTATGTATACAGAACATGCCCCCGGACCCCCCTAGAGGAGGCGACGACCCCCCTAAAGGATGTTTGGTCCACCCCCCACTTGTAAAAAATAGCACAATGTCTTTTTAATCCGTTTTTGCAGCTGAATCACTTTGACATTTCTCTGTTTATTTATTCCATCTATTTTTGTATACATTTTGTTGAATAAGAGATTATTTTCAGTTTCATTGTATACTGCACTGTATATATACCTATTAACATTTTGGGAAGGTGGTTTTCAGTGTTCCTACAGCATTTGACATATTGCTTATTTTATGATTAAGAAAAGTCCCTAGTGGGCAAAACTTCATCAGTCCACTGCAAGAGACATAACAAGTGGTATCGATGACAACGACTCCGAATCCTGTAGTAATCAGCAGCGAATATTCGGCGCGCGTGTATTTCGGTTTATTCAAGGCATTCATTTTGTTATTGTACAGTATTGTTGTTTAATAGTTATTTGTTAATGTAACTAACCCAATTTGTGTTCTTTGACATTGAAAAGGATATTGCATTGTGTTTGTTACTTTCGTTGCAGTTGTATATATGTCTTAACCTGTTAAGCCCTGAGCCTGTTTTTCGGGTCTCAGGCTCGAAAATGACATTCCCAGAACAAATGACTATATCTTCACTTCTAAAAGGGGTAAATTAATCATCTTTTTTCTCAAAGCAATGATAAACCTGTGAGTTGGATGTAGAAAAGTCAGAATCAATATAGATTTTTTTTATTTTAAAGTAAATTCAGATTGAACAGCATGTCGTTGTGTCCCTGGGCAAGACACTTCACCCCAAATTGCTCCTGTGGGGATTGCCCACAGTATTGAGTATGTAAGTCGCTTTGGATAAAAGCGTCTAACAAGTGACATGTAATGTAATGTAATGTAACATAGTAGAAAAATGTAAATTATAGTGTCCGTCCAAAAAAAAACATTACTTATAGTGAAAACCACCCTTGAATGATGGGATAGTAGACTAAAAGCTTTAGGAATCCAAACTATAGCCGCGTTCACACCGGAGTACTTTTCCCCGTACTTTTCGCGTTTAGTTCCGTTAGTACCCCTTATGTCGCGTTCACACCAAAAAGAGTACTTAGTGCCAGGAACTTTTACCCCCATTTTTAGTGCCTGCTGAGAGATGGTACTTTCCTGGGGGAAAAAAGTGCCCCAGTTCTGATTGGCTGGGCGAATTGCAAACCACGCCCCGTAAAACTCTGAAATGTTTTGTAGAGCCGCCATTTTATTATCCTCGCATTAG